TCCACCCGATCCGCCATCTTGTTTGTTCTTCTTAAATTCTTAATATATTTTTAAACTGTAATTTATGTAATGCTCAATAAAACTATGATCAAATATCTGAATTATAAGATATCTTAGTTTTTTAAAACCTGAATTCTACTTTTTAACTCAAAGAGGCCTGTACAGGGTTTCTGAGGAACAACTGGTGGGTTTGAATCACCAACCTTGTGGTTAGCAGTCCAGTGCTTAACCCACAATGCCACACCAGGACTTCTTTAGCTATCCCTACTGAAGAGTATTTATCACTCACTAATCAATCTGTTTTACGATAAACTACGTATTTTCTTAATCATACCTTGGAGTTCTGGTGTGGAGCTGTGGGTTAATATGCTGGACTGAAAAGTCGGTTTGAACCACAAAGTCGGCAGTCCAAGCTCTCCAGTCGCTCCTCGGAAACCCTACACAGGGTCACTACGAGTCAAAACTGACTCAACAGCACTTAACAACAGCAACAACAATCATACCTTTGTGTGGATCATAAGAAACTATGGATAAACATTGCAAAGAATAAGAATTCCAGAGCATTTAATTGTGAACATGAGAAACCTGTACACAGACCAAGAGGCAGTCACTAGAACAGAACAAGGGGGCAGTGAATGCCTCAATATCAGGAAAGGTGTGTGCAAAGGTTGTATTCTTTCACCATACTCATTCAATCTATATACTGAACAAACAATCCAAGAAGCTGGATTACATGAAAAAGAACGTGGCAACAGGATTGGAGGAAGACTCATTAACCACCTGTAATACGCAGGTGATACAACCTCTCTTGCTGATTGTATGAAAGAAGACTTAAAATACTGATGAAGATTAAAACCTTTAGCATGGATTGCAAGTCAATGTAATCAAAACAAAAATCCTAACCACCGGACCAATATCAGGATAAGTGGAGAAAAGATTAAAGTTGTCAAACACTTCATTTTGTTTGAAAATAATATCAACACAAATTGAAGCAGCAGTCAAGAAATCAAAACAATGTATTGCTTCAGGAAAATCTGCTGCAGAAGACCTCTTTAAAATGTTCAAGAGCAAAGATTTTAGTTTGAGGACTAAGGTGGGGCTGGCCCAAACCATGGTATTTTCAATAGCCTCACATGCATGTGAAAGTTGGACAATGAGTAAGAAATATTGTCGAAGAATTTATGCAATTGAGTTAAGGTGTTGGAGAAAAATATTAAAAGTGCCATGGGCTACCAAAAAATCAAACAAACCTGTGTTGGAAGACGTACAGCCAGAACGCTCCTTAAAAGCCAGACTGACCAGACTTTGTCTATCATACCTTAGACATATTTTCCAGGAGGGACCAGTACCTGAAGAAGCACATCATGGTTGGTCAAGTGGAGGGTCAGCAAAAATCAGAAAGATCTTCAAGGACAAGGAAATAGACTGGCACTGTGGCAGCAGCTATTGGCTCAAGTGTAACAACCACAAGGTTGGCAGTTCAAACACACCAGTTTTTCCTCAGAAACCCTATACAGGGTCACTATGAGTTGGAATCCACTCAATGGCACTTAACAACAAGTTTTTTATTATGCAACCATTTTGAAATGAATTGCTAAGGAGTAAAGAAAAAAGAAAGGAGCTCTGGTAGCGTAGTGGTTATGAATTGGGCTGCTAAACTCAAAGCCGGCAGTTTGAAACTACCAGCTGCTCTGCGGGAGAAAGATGCGGCTTTCTGCTCCCGTTAAGATTTTCAGCCTCGGAAACCCTGTGCAGGATCACTATGAGTTGGAACCAACCCCATGGTACTTAATAACAACAACAAAGATAAAAGATGGAGCTAAAGAGTAAAGATCATAAGGGAACCAAAGAGTAAAGATGCCCTCACCCTAGTAGAGGGTGTGACTCAAGCCACCAATCTCAGTTTCCCTTGTGGGTATGGTCTGACTGCAATTATAAGACTGCTTTGGAAAAGCTTGCTCTCTTGCCCTCGATCTTACATTTAGCTTATTATGCATGACCTCCAATTCATTGGACTTTCAGCCCAACACCAGACCTGATTCACCAGCTCCTACAGCCTAGTGCATCCACAGTCTGTCACCTGACCTGCCAATTTGGGTTCTTTAGCCCCTGAGACTGTTTGTTGTTGTTGTCAGGTGCCATAGAGTCGGAACCGACTCATAGCGACCCCATGCACAGCAGAACGAAACAATGTCCGATCCTGGGCCAACCTCTCTACTGCTGCCACACTTGATGCCATCAATGATGCCACCTGCCCAATCCATCTCGTTGGGTATCTTCCTCTTTTTCTCTGACCCTCCACCTTAGCCAGCATGACATCCTTCTCCAACAACTGTTCCCGCCTATGTAGGTGAGAAGATTCCTCCAGACTAAGTCTCTGAACTAAGTCACACAACGTGTGAGCCATTTCTTTTGATGATGATATGTTTTATGTCACGTTACAGCATGCTGCAAAACCCTGAGACTTGGGGAAGGAAGGAGGGGCTATTAATTATTAAGGACTATGGAGTGGTATAACATGTGGAAAAGTCGAACAGTTGGGATATCCTTAATCGCCAACTCATAGGACCAGCCTTGTATTGACCTTTATAACAGAAATGATCCATGCAGTCACCATGAGAAAGAACCAGCTTGGCAGCGCATAACAACAACAACAAACCCAAGCCACTGCAGTGAGGTCGATTCTGACTCAAACAGACCCCACATGTTATAGAGTAGATTTCTCTAGGGTGTTTCTAGTTGTAATCTTCACAGAAGCAGACCACTAGTTCTTTATTTAACGTCACCAGTAGATGGATTCAAATTAATAATCTTTAGGTTAGCAACTGAGAGCAAACTGCTTGTACCACCTAGAATTTTTATAGCATTAATCGATGGTTCATTAATCCTTAATGAAATGAGAGTCAAAATGTACATGCAATATAAAAACATGCAATAAAAGCATATTGCCAAGTGGAGTCTTGGTGTGGAACTGTGAGTTAATGTGCTGGACTGCAAGAACGGTTTGAACCGCAAAGTCGGCGGTTCAAGCTCACCAGCTGCACCTCTGAAACCTTATACAGGATAGTTATGAGTTGGAACCAACTAAACTATACTCAACAACAACATTACCAAACTGCATCCCATAAAGCATGTTCTAATTTCCTTCCTTACTTCTTCTGCTGCAAACTTCAAGACTGCTGTGAAAGGTGTACTTTCAGGAACACTGAGTCTGCAAGAAGAATGAAAAAGAATCAATTTAACAACAACAACAAAAATCTCATTTTTATTTCAGTTATTGTAGCATACTTGGACAAAGCTTGTATTTCCAGTGTGGATATTGGACAATATTATTTCTCATTATATTCATTTACTCTAAAGCGGAAAAAAAGCAATTAGTTTTTCAAGTGCCCCCACCCCCCGAAAAATAACAACTTCTACAGTTGGAGATTTATAGACTTATAATTTTTTCAAACAGTTTATAATATGAGCTGTTCCTTATTGCCAGGATGGATTTCAAAAAGTGAAATTCCCCTTACTATCTCATTCAGTCTAGGTCCAAACTTCTCATCAAAAGAAGTAATGTTATCATTTTCATTGTAAGTAGAGTCTAACATGGGGGCATCATAAATTTTTCATGAACTTACCTGTGATTCTTTAGAATTCACATCAACTCAACAAAAAAAGAATATATTTACTATGACAAAATCCTAAAATCCAGGTGATTGGTATTCCTTTTACAACATCATCATTTGAAAAAGGGCTTAGTGAAATATGATATTGCTTTGGGCAAGGATGTGTGATTTTGCTAGTTGATATGTACAATAGGAAGTATATGAAAGATCGCTGATAAACTTAGCTTTTTTTTATATTTTAACAATTTATCCCCAGGGTCAACCTCTATGATTTTTCCAATTAAAAAAAGGTATTATAATCTAAGAAAACACTTAAAAGACATGGATATAATAAGAGGATTAAAATATTAAAAAGTAAAATAAAAACATTAAGATTTTAAATCTAATGCAAAATATATTATGATTACAGAAAAAAAAATCTGATTCTCTTACAAAATAGGAAACATTAGAAATTAATATTTCTCTTACAAACTATATTATTCTTAACGTCTTAATACCAACCTAAAAATAATATCATAATGGTAGTGGTGGTGGTGTGCTCTGGAGTCGATTCTGACTCACAGCAACCCTGCATATGGTTTCCGAGGCTGTAAATGTTTATGGAAGCAAAAAGGCTCATCATTCTTCTCAAACGGCTGATGGAACGGCTGACCTGGAGGTTAGCAGCCCAACTCGTAACCACTATGCTACCAGAGCTCCTTAATACAGGAATAGAGAAATTTTAAGAGAATTGTTATTTTTGAAGGCCTTAATACCAACTTTGTGAGAATGGTGCAGGGCTGGGCAGTGTTTCATTCTGTTGTATATAAGGTTGACTTGAGTCAGAGTTGAGTGGATGGTGCCTATGAACAAGTCAGTACCCACTCAGCATGTAATAAGCACAAACCCTTCAACCTCTCATTTAGCCTGAAGACATTAGGGCAAGGACTGTAATTTAACAGCAGAATGTTGTGAAGAAAAGCATCTCAAGACCCCACTCCCAAGTTTAAAAGCACCAAGATCAAGAGCCTCAGAACTCAGTTGTGTTTTTCTTGGGATTTGGAGAGATTTGGCTAGAATCTTCCATCTAATTGGGCTTTTGGGGGCTGGCGGGAAGAACGGGAGGGAGGGCAGGAACCAGAGAGATGCTCAATGCTGGTTATACCACAGTAGGTAGTTTAAGAAAGAAATCAGTGACAGGAAAATGAAACAGACAACTGAGAGTTATGAATATAACAATTCTATCTTCATTTAGATAAAGTTATCATTAAATTTTTTTATTTCCAACACTTAACTAAAATGGAATTAGGAATGCAAAGTTGGGTCACCTTTCAGTAATTTAATAACATGGGTTGTAACCAGGTAGCACTCACAAGGAGGAAAACACACTAAAGTGTAGAAGGGCTAGATGGACAATGTCTGGGAAATTTCTCTCTTGCCACCTGATCTCAGTTGGAAATCCACTGACTCCAGGTGTCCTGGCTGAACAAAGTAGGACAAGAACCTCTGGCTGAAGATTTTATATTGGAAGTTGAGACAAGAGGGCCAGGTGTATGTTTACAATAGTGACTGAACTGCACATTACAAAAGAAGTTCCACTTCTTTTCCAGTGCACACGGAACACTTTCCAGAATAGACCATGCATTAGGCCACAAAACAAACCTCCATAAATTTTCAAATATCAAAATACTACAAAGCATCTTCTCATACCACAATGCTATCAAATTAGATGTCAACAATAGGAAGATCATGAAAATAAAGTCAAATACAATAAATGTTGGCAAGGATGCAGAGACACCGGGATGCTCCTGAATTGCTGGTGTGATTGCAAAACAGCCCAACTACTCTGGAAAGCAATATGGCGCTTTCTCAGAAGGTTGAAAATAGAAATACCATTCGATCCAGCAAGTCCTCTACTTGGTATTTACCCACAAGAAATACGAGCCATAACACGAGTAGATATATGCGCACCAATGTACATAGCAACACTATTTACAATAGCAAAAAGATGGAGACAGCCTGAGTGTCCATCAACTGAAGAATGGATAAACAAACTGCGGTACATACACACAATGGAATATTATGTTACCTTGAAGAACAACAAGGAAGCTGTAAGCTACCACATACCATGGATGAACCTTGAAGACATTATGTTGAGTGAAATTAGTCAGTCACAAAAGGAGAAATACTGCATAGGGCCACTACTGTAAAAGACTAAGAAAAAGAACCTATACTAAAGGAGGGGGATGGAATTCTTTGCTGGTTACCGGGATGTGAGGGGTGAGGTGAAAAGAGGGAGGGGAAGGTGGAACACAGGGTAGGGAATAAATAGAGGAGAGTTTGGGTGCTGGGCAGGGGGCAACATATAAGAGGGGGCAGGGGAATGGAAGAACAAGGCAGATGGGAGAACAATTAGGAAGGTCTGCATGGGCTAAGTGGGACAGATTAAATAATGATACATATACAACCATGGAAATACAGGGCTCTGGGATACAGGGACTGAAGCATGGTTGGAATGGGCAAAAGGGGGGAAATAATGTAAGATGCTTGGCTGTTTTTGAATTTTGGTTTCCCTTGCATACCATTATAAAATAGACACTTGAGGTGGAGAGAAAGGAATAGCCAGAAATATCACCATAGGAACCTTGTAAGTCCGTCTTCTGCCTATAACTGATTGGAATACCTAAAATGGGGATAAAATGAGCCCAGTGAAGGAAGCTTCCTGCAGAACCTCTGCATTACATAAGACCATCAGTGGAATCCTGAACCCCATCCAGAATCTTCTGAGGTGGGAAATTTCCACTTGAAAGGACAAGCAGACCAGCCTGGAGTGGCTAGAACAGAGGATACTTCTTGAAAGAAAGAGCAACAGGAAAAATACAAAACAATAACGGCAGTCTGACTGACCACTACAAGAACAAGCAAGTTGCTTGCCCAGGAGACATCAAGGCAAGTGGTCGGGACCTCTCAGGGCAAACCCTTTTCCAAGACTAAGACTCAATGGGAATACATGAACAAACATGCGCTCTGATTGGTGACCACATTAGTCACCATTAAGGGGAAGTGAGGGAAAAACAGCAATGAAGCAGCGGGCTAAGCCCTACCACGTGAAGAGTGAAGTGTTCAGCTGATAAAAAGAGAGTGCATATGCATAAGAACACCTACACTTGCAGATGATACCCACTTGACCTGGCTTCAATGGCAGATCAGAGCTCAACGAGAAGAAGAAACAAAAGGAAAAAGAGACTAATCTGACACAATTTGATGAACTTGACCTACACCTATGGATACAGTAGCTCAAAAGAGGGAACAAATCTTTACAGCGAGGATCATTCCCACACCTCAATACACAGTGTAGACAGGGATGGGCAAGTTGGACACTGGCTACGCAAAACGGGGGCGGGGGTGCTACAAAGGCAAGAAGTAACTGGCTTACAAGCTTTCAAGAGGGAGCCTAGATCCAGAGGGCATGGAAGAAGGTAGAATCTCCACTGAGTAGTATTCAATCTGTCTGGGCGGGATTGATGAAAGGAGATGGGGATAGCACTCATGTGGCACAATAGTGAATAATTGCTATCAGGACTAACTGTGAGGGTTGGAAATATAAAGGTAGAAATTTTGTAGCAAAAGGAGGGGAGTGGTTGGCTTTGCAGTCCAGAAGTGGAGGTACCTGGGACCATCAAGGGAGAAGAGCAGAGTACAGGACCCTACCCAGAGAATCAGTGACGTCATAAATGGAGGCAGAAACGATGACGTGGAGAGACGGAGCAGCTGAGGATTCTAACCCAGTGAGGGAGAAGGGCTGTGTGCTGACAACCAGGGGGCAGATATACCCTTTGGTTGGTTGCTGATGCATGGAGGGAGCTGTAACCATGGCAATGAAATGATATACAATAGAATGAATGTAAAACTAATGTTCTCCCATGTAAACGATCACATAATTCACAATAAAATATTAAAAAAATAATTTAAAAAAAAGAGGACTTCCAAAGGATGGAAAAAAATATACCAAGCTAATTGCAATTGAAAAAGAGCAGGAGTGGCAACACTAATCTCTGTTAAAATAAACTTTAAGGCAAAAACCAGCATACTAGATAAAGATGGACATCATCTCATGATTAAATGGACAATTGAACAAGATGACATAACCATAATAAACATCTATGCTCACAATGAAAGAACTCCAAAATATATAAAGAAAACTCTAAAAGATTTGAAAAAAGAATGAAACAAATCTATAGTAATAGTTGTTGTTGTTACGTGCCATGGCATCGGTTCTGACTCATAGGGATCCTGTACAGGGTTTCTAAGACTGTAAATCTCTATGGGAGCAGAAAGTCTCATCTTTCTCCCGTGAAACAGCTGGTAGTTTTGAACTGCTAACCTTAAGGTTAGCAGCCCAATTTGTAACCACTACACTACAGTGGGCAACTTTAACACACCACTTTCGAAAATGGATAGAACAACCAGAAAGAAACTTGATGAAGACATAGAAGAACTAAACAACAAAATCAGCCAACTGGACCTCATATATGCGTACAGAGCATTCAACCCAACAGCACAATACACATTCTTTTCCAGTGCACATGGAACATTTTCCAGACTAGACCATGTGTTA